TCATATTTTGTTTTATTTATATGTATATATGTGTGTGGGTTGTGATTTGTTTAATTATAAGGGTTGAAGCGAACTGGAAAGAGCTGCCGGCTGAGGTGGCTGAACTATCTGAGGCCGGATGTGAGAAGGGGGAATATTACACCGGAGGAGCAGCTTCTTATAATGGAACTCCATTCTAGGTGGGGAAACAGGTGAGCGCTCATGCTTTTTTACCATTTTTAGTTAAGAATATGAGGCCCTGCTTTCTTTTGTTTCTTTTGAGAAAATGAAAGTATATTGATTCTGCATCTGTTGATTATTTATGCGGTGCATGCTTTTATTATTAGTATTTTTTTGATGTTTTAGCGCAAGGTCATTTGCTTTCTCTTCTGAAATTTGACAAGGAAGAGGTCATGTCCTTTTACGTATGAAAAGGGAGGTGATTAATTGAACTAGTCACCCGCGAGAACATTTTCATTTGATTTATTAAGAAAATGAGAAGTGAGAAAGGAACAGGGAATATAATACCTGAGGGAATATAGTTTTATGAAAATATTGTCATGTGTTCTTATAAAGCTCGTGTTTCTATCCGTTTATTTTCTAGGCCGTGAATAGATGTACGTATAGCATCTTGGATTGTGTGCTTTTGTAAGGTACGTCATAATGATATGTTTGTCACAGCTCCCTCTTTTCCCCTTCCTTTTTCTCCTTTCCTTTTAATTTGAAGTAAGACCACATGAAGTAGTTATGAAGTATTTTCGCAACAATTGTTCCTGATGCATCAAATTCTCTTGTATTCTAATTGTCTCCTGCATATCGAAGAGGACTTCTAGATTTTTTATACTTGAGATAATTTTTTATAAAAAGAATAAAAAATATCATTATTGGATGCAGCCACTTGCAAAATTTTAGTTTGTTAGGTAGTTAGATACATGTTTTCGCTGAAATGCACATAATAGTGCTAGGAATAAAACTTCTAGCTTTATGCGAACAATTAACTAGGAAAAGATGATATCAGAAGATTTCATCACAAAGCCATTTCATTAACTGTATATCAAATTAATATATATTAAATACTTTCTTTTTCAGTTATTTCACTTATTTCTTGGCTTCTAATTATGTATCTTTCATATTGTCCTCTCAAACAATTTGTTAACTCTTTTTTTTCGTGCACGAGGTGGTCCAAAATTGCAAGGCAACTCCCTGGGAGGACCGACAATGAAATAAAAAATTACTGGAGGACGAGGATCCAAAAGAAGGCTAAGCAAGGCGATTCATTCGAGTATCAGAATCAAACGATGACTGATGATGCTAGCACAAGCCATTCCAATGGAATGGAAGAGTGCAGCTCGTCTCAACTAAACTATCAGATGCAACCTAATATGGATAATTCTGATGCTTTCGGAGCGCCATCATATAACACAGATTCTAGCGAAAGCTTTTGGAACATCGATGAGTTTTGGTCTATGAATCCTCTTAACGGTGCTGGAGACTAAATTCGAATAAATACATTGCATCCTATTATCATCATCAACGCATAGGGTGATTATATGAGTAGTATGGATGGAAGTTGAGGTAACTGCTGGATCTCAGTATGTTATTACTAGTTTGAGCTTAATTATGTAATAAATGAAGTCACTCTACTTGGTTTGGTTCAGTGTGAATAATGAAGAGCTATTAGGTTACAGTTTATATAGATTATGATCATTGAAAGTTTTGACATTCTGTTTGTACATTTTAACTACATATATTATTAAGAAGGCTTGTATTATATTTGCATCATGCACACGTCAGTTGGAATTCTCCTTGCTTATATTTTTTATTAAGTATCATAA